GTTCAGGCACTCCCGAAGGCTGTTCATTTTCTCACACCAAGAGCGCTAAGCAATGTGTGTATCTTCAGAGACTGTTTTCTTCTTGTGCGCTCTGCCTTTTGTACTGATGCCCTGGCACGCCCACTTGTAGAACACATAAGCAGGTTGCCTGCCTCAATCTGTCACTAGCACCGCCAGACTCCATTTCCAGACGCTCTTTCCAAAGGGCCTTGTTTTACTGTCTGGGATATGACTGGTGTATTTTCACACCAAGAAAAATGCAGCAAATTCTTAATCACATTGATATACCCCAGATAAAATAAAGCAAATCACACCAAATTTCACTAACTTTAACAATAAAAAACACCCTCAATGATCTTAAAAATCTGGAGGGAAGCTAATTTCTCCTTCACCTTATTGATCTTTCAAATTTGTGATTATACCTAATGAGTGATGGTGTATCGGGGGCCAGGAAAGAGAGAAGATGCTGCATGTTACTAGATCTTTCTTTCCCCTTCCTCCCTTCTTTCCTTCTCTCTCTCTCTCTCTCTCTCTCTCCCTTTCTATATGTGTGCATGTGTAGAGCAAACTAGACCAGTCCAGATCAACCCCCCCCTTTTTTAGTCTGAAACTAAAAAAACTACCTTTCTTTGGTCTGGAACTTACTGATTTGGGTGGCCAGTAAGCCCCACGGATCCTCCTGTCCTAATATCCCTCAGAATTACAATCACTGACATATTATATGGGTTCCAGGGCTCAAACTCAAGTCTTCATAGATACACAGCAAGTACTTTCCCAACTGACCTCATCTCTCTCTAACCTCATCAATGGATTTCTTTAAAAAAATTTGATTGATCCATATGGAGATAAGCACAAGGGTATGCATATGTTTGGTACGACATGGCAATATTGACTGAAGCCTAAAGCTACAGGATTCTCCATCAAAGAAATCTACCTGGAAGAGACAACAGAGGACAGTGAAATTGAATAGACCTGGGTTCCAACGCCTTCCCCTAGTCATGGGTTCTTGGAAGCTTTGCTAATTTTTCAATGTACTTATTCATAATTCGATACTAGCAGTGACTTTATAGCATGGTTGTAAAACCAAAGTAAGTTATGTGTGTAGGGACGCACAACATAGTTTCTGGCTCACCGAAGCCGGTTTATATGTTGTTGTCATTTATTGTTGTTACTGTCATTGTCATTAGGCGAAACATCAGCGGTGGGCTGGGGGGTGGGCTGCTCAACACTCTCTACCTTAAATTTCAGATAAGCTATGATAAGAAGAATGGGTCAAGTGACCCCAATGGCAGATCACAGCCTGAAGTAGTTTTGTTTTCTAAGATATCAGCTTAGTGAGCATCTGATTTCTCCACTTAGCAATCTGTGTGGAGGAGCAAGGCTGGCTTCTCGGGTCCCTTGTCTAGGGACAAGGATGAAAATCATCTAATCCAGTGTTGACTGTGTGGTTCCAATCCAGTTTTCTGGAAAGACAAGGATACTTTGCTGCGCCAAGTATTGTCTATTCTCTGCACCTTGGTCAAATGGGAGCATTCTGAAAGTAGAATTCTTTAAGTGAATGTAAATGTCCTTAGAAGAAAGGTTCATCACTCTTTTGCCCAATTGAAGAGTTTTGCCAGTTCAAGAGCCCTACTTCCTTCCTGCTTCTCCCCCTATACACAGTCGGATACAAGATACAAGACACAAGATTTACTGCTCTATTCTCTCAAATATGCAATTAATTCACTTAAAAATATTGACCATAGTGTATATTTTTATATTTGTGATGGGGCATTCAGAGACACATCCTCCAAATTCCAATATTTGTAGTTGAGAAATATATTGTAGAAGCCACCATTGTTAGCAGAAATCTTTAAAAGGAGAAACCGGGAAAAAAAAATCACAGATGGTCAGCCATGTTGCATAAAATGACTACACAGAGATGGGGCCGTCTAGAAGCAGAAGGATGTACAAGCACAGCCTACCTTGACAGAGAGTCACCGTGCTCCTGAAGGCCTGGTTCAGGAGTGGAGTCTTCTACAGTACAGAGGGAGTGAGGTAAGGAGGACACAGGGCATTGGGTATGCAGAGTTTCCCTTTAATGATCCATTGCCATAACAAACAGCTTCACTGCCTCAAGCCAAAATTCCTCTAGGCGTGCTTTAATAGACCGCGACTATTATTTCTGTCTGCCGAGACAGTTTCCTCAGCAGCGTTTAATTTTCATGTGTAGGGTGTTCACCATTGAGGCTCCGAAGGATTTTCGCCGATATCTGAATACAGTACTCAGCTTTCCGCTACTGTGACAAATGCCCGTGATGATCAACTTGCAAAAAGGAAAGAGTTCCCAGTTTTGGGAGGTTCGCTCTTTGGTTAACCTCACCGCTTGTGGGACTTCTGTGACTTATGTCATTATGGTAGGAACGTGTGGCAGAGATTCTTACGTCATGCCCCTGGGAAACAAGAGGAAGTTACGAGGCATCCAGGGACTCCTTCAGAGGCACAGCTCCAGTGACTGACTTCCTCCTACCAAGTCCCACCTCTTAAAGATTCTTTCCCCAAACCATCTCAGACTGGTAACCAAGCCTTTAACGCAGAGACCTTTAAGATCTAAACCACAAGGCTGGGCATGGTACGAGAAGGCATAGTACTGCATGGCATGGCAATTCATCTCCACACTTTAGTTTCCTGTAGCTGCTGTAATGAATACCGCAGATGTGACTTAAATTTACAGACATTTATTCTGATACATGGTGGAGGTTGTGGTTCTATGATCAAGGTACCAGAGGGATCTGAAGACTTCAGGGGAGAATCTACTTTCTTCCATTTTCCAGCTTTTTCTACTAGGAGATGGTTTTCTCTCCCTGGCTCCTAACCCACAACTCTAACTCTGGCTCCATTGTAACTTTCAGTTCTGACTTTGATCTTCTTGTCTCCACTTCTTAAGGCTCCTGTGATTACACTGGGCCAATGTAATCTCAAACCCAACCCAATCCCCCCAAATAGGGTGACCTCATCACCTCAACACTCCTAACTATCCAAAGGTACCTTTCATACGTAAAGTTTTACATGTAAACACAATATGCACCCTCATGTGTGATGTGAAAGTGCATTAGTAATCGAATATTCACAAGTAGAAAGATATGGAGATTCATATGCAAGGATACAGAAAATATCCTAGAAGTGGTGGGGAGAGAAATTCCATTTGTAACACACTGTTTACATTTATGGGGCAGCTAGTGAAGGGGCTTGTTGCATCGTTTTCTATACAATTTTGTAGGTTTGAATAACTTTACTTTGGAATGAAAAACGCCATTGTTTGGAAGAGAAAGAACATGAACAAGATGAAGCACACAGGAGAGAGGAGGACACAGACAGACATACTACAAGCTAACATGCACATGACTGAATATCCTTATAAATGCCAGCAACCCTGAGAAGTAGTTTATCACTAAACCACAGAGACAACCCAACAGCAGATGTTCAGCAAACGAAGTAGAGAACTGATTTTCCTTGGTCACATTAGATCCAAAAGTTGGAACTAAGAGTGGACACACAGGTATTTAAATACATGACCTAGACAACTTAAGTTGGATAAAAACCTGCTAGTGTGGGGTAGAAAAATATCATGGTAAAATAAAATTCCAAGGAGGGGACTTGAACAGCATATGTATAATAATTTTCATGATGAGATGTAAAATATACAATCATATAGACCAATAAATAATACTTCTTTAAAAATTACAACAGGTTGTCTAAAAAATGTGTTCATGACAGCTGTGACTTCAGATTTCTTTGCTGCAATGCTCAACTCCAGAAGGCGAATGAGTCTGCCAACTTCTGAGGAGAAGGTCTTTTGTCACTTGGGCACAAAAGGCATGCCAGACATATACACTTAACAAAATTCAATATGTTTTCCTTCTCCAAAAAAATAGTTAAGTCATATGTAAAAGACTAAGAGATATGGGAAAAGTAATGGAATAAAAGGTAAAAGCTGGACACAGACAGAAATGTATGTATGTATTACAATAGCATAGAGAATTAAAGAGCTCTGTAGTTCCAAATCTTCATAATATTTGCATTTTCGTAATCTCTACCACGTACACATCTTATTTTATCACATTGAAAGTAGCCACAGTGTCATATAATATAAATCCTAAGCCAAATGTGGTGATGCAAGCAATCCCAGTCCTTGGGAGACAAGACAAGAGGGGTGCATTTAGGGACAGCCTGGACTACATATAGAGACAATCTCAGAAAACCCAAACTCAAACCAAAACCAAACCAAACAAAATTAAAGCAGAAGGCCATTCTTAGGTTCTATGTACCCCCACATCAGAGCTCATGGATTACATGGTAATTTTCCTTCTGCACCACCCCAATTCTTTTTTATTACCTCTGTTCTTGGTGATCTAACTTCTGCATCCCACACTGTTGACATGATCTCACAGAGGCATGATTGGATGGTGATCTTTAGTAGTTTCCAGGGGACTCTTAGTAAGAGTCGAATTTCAAGACGTGAAAGATATATTTTCAAAGGGCTCATATTGATGAAACTTATAAAGTAGGTGCCCTTCAAAATAAAATTAGCTCTCTGGTCTTAGCCGATTGATTTGGTTATCCGAACAATTCCCACAGAGCATGGACCACAAATGTAGAAGGTGGCGAGACAATGAAGGTTGACTTCAGCGTTCTCTACTTCAGTGATGCTCAACCCTCCTAACACTGTGACCCATTAGTATAGCTCCTCATGTTGTGGTGAGCCTCAACCATAAAACTGTTTTTGTTATTACTTCATAAATATAACTTTGTTACTGTTATGAATTATAATGTAAATATCTGTGTTTTCTGATGTTCCTAGGTGACCTCTGTAAAAGGGCTGTGTAACCCACTAAGAGGTGGCAACCCATATGTGGAGAACTCCTGAAGCACATAAATACACTGCTGCCAAAACCAAAGAAGCTTTAGCAGTGAAGACTATTTTAGCTATAAACAAATAATCCATATGCACAATGAGAAAATGCATGGGTTACATTTTATTTCAGGTGTTCTTAAATTTAATATTTTAATCACCTTCTGCTGGAACAACTGTACCATATCTATAAAAATGTAAACTACAATAGACGTCATGTTATTGTCATGAAACACCAAATTTTATGTTAATAATGCTTCCGTTTTTGTTGTGTCTATTTTACCGAATCATATCTTAAAATTTATTTACTAAAATGACGTAATACTTATCATGTCCGTTGTACAAAAGGCATTGTTTCATTTCACAATGCGATTTTCACGGTGATCACTGTCACCCTTCAGTCCTCATAAAAATGTGACTGGAACGCTGGTTTTGAGAGAAGAGTGCCCGCAGCAGCCAGCAGCTTGGGGACTTGCCAGCAGGTCACAGAACTGGTTCTGGCTTCTCCAGGCATGGCTTCTTTCAGAGAGTACAGCAAGAGGGGGCGGGCCTGTCTCAGTTGCACATGTTTGTTCATGATCTGCTCAACAGCAGTTGGCCCTTTTTACTTCACTTTCCATGCAGCAACCAGAGTGATCGCTGTCACAGTCTAATGAACAGGTCCCTTTTGAAAACACCCTCAGCACCTTGCCACCTTGCTTTTAAGACAAAGAGAAACCCAGGCACTGGTGGTATAGGCCTTTAATTCCAGCATTCGGAGGACAGAGGCAGGGGATTTCTGAATTTGAGGCCAAACTGATTTACACTGTGAGTTCCTGGACGATCAGCAAAGGGAGGAAACCCTTTACATACACACATCATTAAACTTAACTTAATGGGCCTCTGTTTCTATCTCCAGCTCAATTCCTCACTATGTTCTCATTTGGCAGTTTTTACAAAATATTCAAAAATATACAAAATTCTATTAAAGGGGTACTTCATATTGAACAATAAAGTCTCCCTATGATTACAATATAAAGCTGAATTATAAAGTTCACATATTCTTTAAACCAACATTTCTGTATTATTGTACTTATACTGTAGATACAAATAATATTTGCATAGTTTATTTATATTATAGATACAAATGACATCTACATGAACACATATACAATATTCTTATATTATCCACTAGGCAAAATTACAAAAGATTCTAACCCATTTAAATCTTTGTTAATAATGAATTTGAGGTAGTTACAATGATGCTTGGATGATGAGCTTGTAGGGATGAATTTAGTGATCAAAGATGAAGGTAAAAAAAGCTTTTACAGAATGCTATAACTGGGTGATAAAATTAAGTGGATAACCTAATTTTTAAAGGTGTTTGTGATAAAGCCATGGAAAGATGCACAAAACACATCGCTAAGAGCTGTTGTCATTGAAAGAAAGAATGTATAAACAGAGTACAGGAGAGATTTAATTTGTAGTCTATTTTGTAATTTTATCTTTTGCACCTGAGTGTGGTTGAATGAATTATTTTTCTTAATTGCGCACTTCTGGCTACTTAATTATTTTTGTGCCCTGTAATTTGCAGTCTTCCATGGTAGATGAGGTTAACTATCCATTCCATGGGATTAGGCTTGGTCATATGACCTGAATGAGCCCTGTAAAGGCAGCAGGGCTTTAAGTGAGCTACTGCAGCTTAAGCCTTCTTTTCTTTGGGATATATCACGCAAAGAATAATCCCAAGAGTTGTTCCTTCCAAGAGGAAGATGTGCAGAACAGACTTGAACCTACCCTATGGCTTTGAACCGAAATCCAAGAGATTTTATCCAGAAGCAGACAAAGTTATAGACTTGTAAACATGTAAAAGAACTCTGCTGCTGGAAGCCATTGAGTTGTTAATAATAGTTTCCTCCACTGTGCTACTTTAATAGGAATTCTCCCAATTTACCATTCTTTAATCAGGTTTCTGTGATAATGAGATTTTACTATATTCTTATAAACCATTTTCAGTGCCTCTGTTGGAGTTTGGGGAGGCGAGACCTCCTGGTGAGGAAAATAGGGTCTCTAGCTTGGGTGAAGACCTATCATTTCAGTAGGGCTGGTTCAACCACTTTGGCAAAGGAGGTGTGCTCACCTTAAGGCATGCTAAAGAGATGGGAGGAATAATTAGGTGTTCAGCAAGATACTGGGCGTTTCCTTCCCTGAAATCCCCAACCCTAGAGTAGAAACTTATGGGCCGAAGTCATACCGGGTCATATAGGTCTGCCTGTTTGCTTTTCCAAACTATACAGAAAAGGATATCTTTATCTTTTTTTACTTTGTTTTTAAATCATGTTTTCCTTGGCACTTTGGTCTCCTTCTCCTCCATGCACAATATTTTGAACTTCCTTATTCTTTCTCTAAAGCTTCCTCCTTTCCCAAATGGTTCTCATGCCAGCTTGAGTAACATGGCTTTTCCCTTCTCTCCTCCATTTTCCTCTGGGAAATTGTTAAGGTTTTACTACTGGCCCACCCTACAATTTTTCTTCTAAACTCTAATAAAATGTCCTGGTGTTTCCATTTGAATCTGTCCTTACATTCTTTTATTAATGAGACTAAGAATGCACAAAGGGGACCGTGGTTCTTCCCGTGTATAGATTCACCACTGTCAAAGGCTATGAGCATACTCATTCTGTACAACCATATACTTCACCAAGCATTCTAGCTGAATCATATACCTTTAAAGCATTCTCAAACACATGTGGCCTCTTAGACTTACTATTACAGTTGAATAATTTCATTAAGGTGGGGTAATTTGATGAAATGGGCATATTGCATGTATGAAACTATATTGGATTTTTTGAAAAGCTCAGTGAAGTTCCTAAAATTGCATTTGGTTAATTATTTTCAAAAGTAAAAATGTAAAACTGTTGAAGATTATACACTTAAGCTGAAATCTCTAATGTTTGATGTAGTCATCACATTTATAAACACTGCAGTTAATAATAATGACAAATTATGAATATTCTATTGGTGTGGTTAGATGGTAGATAGGCAGCTTCTGAGAAATGTGGTATTACATGCAAATACCAGTGTTCTGCCTTTCCTATTTTAAGTTCAATTAAGCTGTATCGTTTTTCTATGATTCCCTGAGGGCCACTAACAGTTTTTCTAATTGCATCTTCACAGAAGGTAAGGGATTCTTTCAAGTTCACACCATTCAGGAACAGAAGAGCTGATAATAAAACTTTATGTGACATACTTCTTTCTTTCTACTAAATTCTAGAATCAAGGTCCAGAGCCTTTTAGAGATGGAAATAGGATTATTTTACCCTTTTATCTATTTACATTTCTATATATGTGAGAGACTGCATGTCGTGCATAAGTGTGTCACACGCTTGTGTGTGAGTGGGGGTTGTCTGTGAGTAGGTATTAAGGTCGGAGCAATGTCAGGTATCCTATCTACTCTATCACTTTTTAACCTACTCCCTTGAAGCAGAGTCTCTCAGTGAACTTGGAGCTAGGTTGGAGGCCAGCAAGTCCCAGTCATCCTGCTGTCTATTCCCCAACACAATTCTGGGGTTGCAGGCATATACAAACACACTCAATTCTTCATTTGAACTCAAACTCTATGCTTGCGCAGCAAATGCTTTTACCTATGGAACCACCATTGCCTTAGCCCCAAGTAGAGCGCGCGCGCTCTCTCTCTCTCTCCCTTCCTTCCTTTCCTGCCTTCCTCTCTCTCTTTCTTTCTCCTTTTTTCCTTACACTTCTTTTCAGTTCTAAACTAGGCTTTCTGTTATCAGTTAGCCTGATTAATTTATCGTTGTTTCAGCCATTGCCCTATGGTAGATAGTTTTAGTAATTAGCAATTTATTTTTAGCTCATTTTCCCAAATTTTGTGTCTTTGCACACCTGCCTGTTTATAGCATTATAATATGCATCTGAAAAACACAAATTTAATGGTTTTCCATAGTGCTGTTTTCTTATGGGCTTGTTGATGTGAGCTAAGATTTGTTTTGTGCCTTGTTTATAATACCTTCCAGTCAAATTTTGACTTTGGGTATGGCAAAGTCACAACCACATAGTGTGTACTCCAATGGCTGCTTTGACTAAGTCTTTCTCTTTAGGCCACATTCCCATACTTACATTCAATTCTTTGATAAAGAGGAGAACATATATATGAGGTTCAAACATAAGACTTTGTGCATGCTAGGCTAACACTCTACCACCTGAGGTACACCCTCAGCTTTTGACAAAGTCCTCCATAAACACATCTCCCAATTATACCATTAGCAAAGAAATGATCGCTAGATCATATTGTCTTAAAAAGAGTCTGTTTCTGATCTTCATCAAGGAGATAACACCCTGGAATTTCAGAGTTAGACATTTCTTTGAGAAGCACAAGTCATCATTCCTAGGTGGTGTACTGAGACTCAGGAACACTTCAACAATAGTAAGGGAATGCTGCAGGCAACCTCAACACTCATCAGTGTTTTTCTTAAAGTCAACCATGGGCTTGGAAGCACATTTGGACTGAAAATGAACTGGGTTTAGAGATATTGTCTCATCAAACCTATGATTTTACTGTACAGTCTTTGAGGGGCATCAAGGCCCCAGACAAAATCAAAATGGTTCCAATCTGGAAAGAGTTTGAAATAGCGTAGATTTGTAACTTGCGGAAGTATCCTGGCCACATCTCGAGGTGTTATGAGGACATCATGTCCACCAGCCCAAATGGCAGTGGGCACCTTCATGGCTGTCAGGTCATAGATGGGAGGGCGACTCTGGGAGAAACAAAAAGCAATCATGAAAGACACTCTTCCTTAGCAGCGCATGAACTTGAAATAACAGAAAACCTGCAAACTGAGTATCTGCTATGAGCATAACTCTGTTAGAAAATGAGAGAGTGAAGGGTGAAAAGTTCCCACACAATAAATGGTCCCTGCCTTTGGGGAGTTTGGGAAGGAAACGCGCAAGGAAAGATAGCTATCCAGGTACTTGAACACAGACTTTTAAGGGAGTTGGGTTTTGACAGGTGTGGTTGTTTGAATAAGAATGACCCCCATAAACTCATATATTTAAATAATTGGTCATCAGTTGGTGGAACTGTTTGGGAAAGATTGGGAAGGGTGGCCTTGTTGGAGAAGATGTATCACTGGCAGTGGACTTTGAGGTTTCAAAACCTAAAGCATGCCCAGTGTCTCTTTTTGCCTTATGGCTGTGTCTCAAGGTGGGAGCTCTCAGCTACTGCTCCAGCGCCATTCCTGCCTGCCTCCTGCCATGCTTCCTACCAAATTCTTAACCCCTGAAACTGTGAGCCCCAAACTAAACTTTTTTTTACAAGTTGTCTTGGTCCTGGTGTTGTCTCAATAGAAATGATGACAACAGGCAAAGATACGTGCTGGAAGGCTTCCCAGTGAAGGGACAGTGTGCAGGCCAAGACTAGGAGGAATAAATACATCAATGCACCATGCTAAGGAATCCACATCTTTTAGAATCTTTCAGACAAAGCAAAGTCATTTCTCAGAGCCCTGTAATAGGACAGATCAAGTATGAGCTGTGGGCAGACTCGAGAAGGAGAAGTCAAAGATGGATCCCACCAAACTGAGGACACACAGTGTGGATTCTCTAAATTAAAGCTCTAGAGGAAAAACTGAATTCTCCAAAGAAGAATAAGGAGAACCTTTAAATACTCTTAGGAGGATGTCAAACATTAAGGAGGGTTAGGCAAACGAGGAACTAATAAAAGGGACAAAAAGGAAAAAACAAATACCCAGAACATTGGACCACAGAAATCTAGGAAAAGGGGAATTGTTCCAAACTGATAGAAACAACTTCAAAATCTGAGACTAGGAAAGCAAATTTGCTAATTAAAAGTCATGAGTGACTACACGTGGATTGCCATATAATAGGATAAAAAACCCAAGTAGATTTTTCCAAAGTCCAAGAAAGAAAGGGAAGGGGAAGTAAGCTTTTCCTACTTCCGTATGAAGGGCATTGGAAGAATGAGAAGGATGGAATGAGGACTCCAGAGAATCGGTGGATCAAAGAAGGGTTTGTTTGTTTATGTTTTATAAAGGACAGCAGTCTGGTAAGGCAAAAAGAACAGCTGGTACCAAAAGCACTTTACAGATTCAAAGTAACCCACATAAAAAATCTAATGAGTTTCTTTATAGAAATAGATGAAAAATATCATAAAATTTGTATTTGGAAGCAAAAAAGGACACATATAACCAAAGTAATTCTAAGCAGATAAAGGAATGTTTGTGAAATCACAACATGTGGTTTCAAATGTACTGCAGAGTTGTAAGAATAAAACAAGGCCATGTAGACTAACTGAACACAACAGAATACCTGGAAACTAATGATACAGCTACACGGATGCAAAAGTCATGCATTGGGGAAAGGAAAACCTTTTCAAAAAATAGTGGTGGGAAAATTGGAGGTCCTCAGATTTAAAAATGAAATAAGAATTCGGCTTTTTGTAGAAAAGCCAATTCAAAATTCAGCACCAATGTGTTTATTTCACATTTAGAAGTCCGGTCCCAACTGTGAGAAAAAGTGGTTAATGGCTTATTAAAAGCACAATGCTAAATGAGTCTACAGTTCTATGTTAGTTTCCATCAGAACTGTGGATTTATTTATCACCATACTAGTTAAGATTCTTGTGAAACAATTTCCATTATTATGCATCCTTCAAATTTTTTGTTTAAAAAACTTTTTAGTGACATTGGTTGTTTCTTACTGTAATTTGAAATAAAGAAGCAAGAATAACAGGTTTATAAAGCTAATATACATGCTAAGAAAATTGAGATAAAATATTAATATATCTGACACCTTTGGGTAGAGGGAATGCAAGCAACTTTCTCTCCTTTTTTGTATGCTCCTTTTATTTCTAAAAAGTCTGCATACTACAAAGTTCTGCAGACTAATAATTTTAAAAGTCTCAGTATAAATATTAGAAGTGAGCATATAGAATTCTTCCTTCAATAATTTCCCATCACAGTTTCTCAGCACCCTATCCTGAGGGCTCTGAGTGGCTCACCTGGTTGTAGTGCTTCATGTTTTCAGCTTCACTTCCCCAGTCATAAGCTCTGAATTCATCAGATCGGTAAAGCTGAAACCAGAGTTTTAGAGAGGAGATTCAGGGCAAGAGTCATGAGAACTACAGTGACGCTTAGAGAAATAACCAGGTGGGGAGGAACAAGGGCTCTGGGTTCTCAGAAGGAAGAAAACATCTTATCAAGACAGAGAATGTTGTCCAATAGACAGACTAAGATGGGTTTCCTTGGTTTGAAGAAGAAACACGTGGAAAAGTAAGCCCCATTAGAAAGCCAGCTCTCAGACATTTCTCTCTTGGAGGAAACTTCAACTCACTTCAAGGTGCCCTTTACTGAGGCTGAATGCACATTTTATCAGCTCTAGTTAAAAATGGGATTGATTTGTGTTACACTCGCTCTCTATCATAACACTCTTTCTCCTCAAGTCCAGGCAAATCAGTATTTGAAGAGGCAACAAGAACAAAAACAGAGACAGTTTCTAAGCTTCTAGAGACAAGCCCATTGCGAGAGTAAAGTATGACCTTTGGCATTAACCGAGACAAGGATGGGCTGACTTTCCGTGAGAAAGCTGTTACCTGTTTTATATGTAGGATATTCTGGATTGATGATCCCGTGGGAGCATGTGACATGTACACATCCAATCGGCTCTAGGAAGTTAAAAACAGCCATTCAAGGAAATGAACCATGTCTCTCAGAAACAGAGACCAGTGAAGAGTTCATAACAAATACTGAGCCATCCCTGTGAGCAGACCTAGGGTGACACGGGCATGGGTTTCCTAAGGAAAACAGTCTACACTGTCTGAATCTTGGTGCAGGTGAAACAACCAAGGGAAATGTTACATACAAGCACAGGAACTGTGTATATAGGTACAGGTGTGGTGTGTGCTAAGCAGACATGTAGGCTGACATCACAGATCCTGGGGTTCAGGTCCACATTTTGTTAGTTATCATCTTTCGAACTCTGGCCACACCATTTAATTTGAGCTTTATTTTTTCATCTACAAACAAATCTATTAACTTAGTAGATGTGAAAGGGCACACCTTTAACCCTAGCACTGGGTGGTAGGGTAGGAAGCAAAGGCAGGAAGATCACTATGCGTTCAAGGACAATCTAGGCTATAGTGCAAGGCTATGTCTCAGAAAACCATAGAAACAAATACACAAACACACTAAAAATCATGTTATAAACCTGCTAGGTTCCTGTGGAGAGAAAACATACTACAAGAATAAAGCTGGAATCCTTTTGGAGATTGCTTTAATCTTTGTGGAGATCATAGAGGTGAAAATGATGGAGTCAAATAATCATACCTGTACCTTAGATATTATGATTCATATTCAGGGAAACTACTAAGCATTCTCACTTCTGAACAAAAAGGCCTTGATCAGTGGCTCCTCATGGCTGTAGCCTTTGAAAGTATAGGGATGAGATGGGATGGTGAACAATTCTTTAGAAACTGGCTTCATTTTAACTGTTTGTATTCTTTCTAATTAACGACTGCCAAATTCTCATTAGACTATAATAGGGATAGTTGTGCGACCACTCTGAAAACTTAGACTCCGTCTTCTTGAATTCTCAGTAACAGGAGAAATGAGTTGCTAATAAAACAGAACTTTAATTTCTTCTTCAGAAATTTCCTTTTCTTCTGTGCTAGACTTTCCATATTAAACAGTTAATTTTCTTTGAATCCCAAATCTTGAGTTACTGGCTACACCAACATAAGAAGTGTACTGCTTACTCAAACTTCTCCTTTCCTAGAATTCTATTTTTAGTTTAATTTACCAAAATGAAGTAAACTGAAACCACCTTAGTCGCAGCTGCTCACAAGCATGTAGGAGTATTCTTAACACTCATTAGTGTTCAGTCCCTAATTTTGGTAGACAATGGAATGAGTCTTTCCTTCCTCTTTCCTCATGTTCATGGTCTGTTGACATACCTAATCCTTCATGCATAACAAACATCTGCCTTCAAGGGCTTGCAATGCCTATGCATTTTTATAATATAACAGATAAACATAAAAATGAAAGCTGGAATTTCTTTAAGCATCAAATGGCCACTTAGCTATTATACATACCATATTCATATTCTTTTTGTTGAATCCAGCCCACAGGGACATAAACTCACTACACAATGGTCGGAGTAGTATTTTGTTGCAGACTTTGATGTAAGATGCCTTTGCCTTCTTATCTTCTAAAAAGAAACCTTTGGTACCAAATATAAGCTACGGAAATAAAAAAAAAAAAAAAAAGAATATTCTTTTAAGATGTCTCCTTAAGTTCTTTGATATTTTCTTAGTTATAAGAATGAACCAATTTGGGCATCTATTTGCATTTGCATTTGCTTTCTATAGTGAAGGAGACAAAAATAACTTAGGGGAGGGGCAGTAGGCATCTGTTTCCAAATACAGAAGGTCATAAATTGTAGTCAGCAGTCTTTGACTCCAAGTTCACTTCTCCATGGTAGATCTCTCCTGTAATCTGTCTAATCAGTGATTTCCAAGTTTCTTGTTCAGTGGTAAGAAAGATGAATGAAGTTTTCACTTTAAGATGAACTATTACACTGAACAGGAAGGACATGAGGGTTTTATCAATATTTTTCATGTATGTATTAGCTGTGTATTTCTGTCCTAAACTAACCATTCTTAATGATGAAAAATTGAGAACAAAATACCAAAGATAATTTGGTGCTGGGCATCAAATACCACAAGGACAGCATGTGAAAATATCCTGGACTTGTGAATGTAAGCTAGGACAGATCTGTGTAGTCTAGGAACTGCACAGAAAATCAGTGGTGAGGGAGTCAGAGAGCTAGGTCTTAAAGAGGCAGAACCTCTGACAATAGCAAATGCATATAGAGAAGACACAAAAATCAGCCTCACATCTGGTGTATGTAAGAAAAGCAATGTGTTTTACAAAACTGATATATTTATAAATGAATGTGTCTATTCCAAATTTCACTTAACAAACTAGTTTAGTCGGCTGAGTGTGGTGGCTCAGGAGTTAGAGACAGGAAGACTGTCATACTAATTTAGTGGAAGTCTCAAAAGATCAACAAAAGAAAGAATGAACGAAAGAGAGGGAGGGAAAGAGAGAAGGAGGGAGAAAGGAAGACAGGAAGGCATGAAGGAAGGCAGGCAGACAGATGAACAGACAGATAAGGAACAGATTGATTCAATCAACCCTACCCAGATGTAGATAGTAGTCAAAGCTAACCTATGACAACATATTTTGAAATCGTTAAATTCCCTATGCTTAGAGTAAACAAGGCAATGAAACCGGTGTGTAACCAGTCATTTGACCATAGGAAAACATCTTCCATGTGTGGAAGGCATGCTTACTAATGTGCTCGCATCCATGGGCTCACAAATATTCCCTTTCATTCCTACAACGCCAACCCAGAGCCGTCCCAGAGCAGGGCCTCATCTTTTTTTTTTTTTTTACAAGAATTATTGTGATTATCTAACTTTCTGGTTTTACTTTTGTACAAATTCATTTTCATAATCATTCCAAACTCAAAGGACAATATCAACAAACTATTAATATTGTACTTCAAGAAATACTATTTGTAGCCATGACAAAAAGAAACTGAGACCAACAGAAGATATAACCAAAACATCTCTCAAGGGAATGGAATTACAAATCCACAATTGCTAATTGAACAATTATTTTCAGCTTAAAAATTAACAGTATTTAAATAAATACTTGAACTCTAAGATATTGAAGGGCTGTAATAAATCTAGGTGTTTTAATAGAATAAAGTAAGCTTTTATATGCAAAAATGCATATGAGTAAAGGTTTTCTAATGTCTAACCACGACATTCACAATCATATGTAATTTGAAGAACGTCTTCCAATTGGATATTGAGAACCCACTGAGCCACCCAACTAAACAGAACAGAAAAATGTATGAGTCGCCATTATAATGGTTTTGGACTAAGCTCAACTGAAAGTCTATGCATGCCTCTCAGTAAGTCACTGAATTTAACAAATTATATATGGTACCTATAGAGAATATTGACATAGACATACACACACAGGAACACACACACTCTCAGGTACATCCTCATGGACTCTGATTTCTATGGATTTTGCCTAATGTTCTGACCTCTCTTTCACACAGATTTAAAAATAATAAGGATCTACGATATGAAATGAGATCCTGAGATAAATTTTGGCAAAATGAGGAGGAGCCTACCTTGATTATGGAGTTTGGAAGTAGAAAAAAACTGGTAAAAATGCTTGTGGGATATTTGAATGAGATCACAGGACCCAAGGCAAAATTCATTTTGATTCTTTGTGCCACTTCAGGCATGGTGGAAAAGGCTATAAACCCTGGGAGAATAGGAGACAAGACAATCTCATGAAAATTATATATACTCATGCAAAATTTTATCAATGGGACTGAGTGAGATTCTGTTCTGTCGAGCTTTGTCATCCTACTGCACCGATCTTGGAGATGAATTGGAAAGGTTCTCTGAGTTATTCTGCCAAGATGATCCAACTTAAGTTCTTGTTAATCTTAAGTCCATACTTTTTCTGATACTGTTCTGAGCCACTTAACGCATTTAGGGGAAATGGTGGTAGCTGGCGGGTAAAGGATGATCTGGTAAACTATAGAAATAGCATGTACGCGCACACATGCATGTTGGCCATCCTAAATTCTAATATGCTTGGTGAGTCACAGTGCTTCTAGAAGTAAACAGTCAGTTCACAAGACACAAATGAAACCGTTCCTTCTGCAGCTGTTTGCAGATGCACAAACAAGCTTTCTTGTTTGCTACAGTAAGACTTCATTGTCAATGTCGTGGGTGTCATGTTGGATATTCATACCCCACCCAAACCATTTCTAGCTTCCCAAAAATGAAGATGTTTCCCTTCAGCCCACAGTGATCTCACTGGGTAGACTAGTTTCCCAAGATGCATTTCTGTGTCTCTGCTGGAAATACACTCACAAACACACATAGAAATACTTACTGAAATGTTAACACTATTTCGGTCATGGAAATTAGCTGAGCCACTGACATTGTGCCAGGTAGACAGCTTGCCTTCAGAGGATGTTTGGAAATGTATGGAGGTTAGTTGTTTGGTTGTTAAACTTTATGAACGGACATTTAGATGCTAGAGTCAGGGTTAACAAACAACCTCAAAATGGATCATTCCCTCATTTAAAAAAATTTTTTTTTGACCCAAGTACAAGAAGTGTTTAATGAAACCTGCTCATGCCCAAATGTAGCATGGAATGCTGGTCTTATTTCCTGTATTTTCTTTGCAGATCAGTAAGGGTGTAAGTCCTTTCGACATACCGAGTTGCAAGTCAAAGTCCTTTCCCAGTGCTTTGGATCCCATTGGTGGGCTCCAGCCAACCTGCTCTTAATCTATATTCTTTGTGAGTGGGTTGTTTCAGAGATCCGGGGAGGAAACATACTGAAAACAGATTCCTAAACACAGCAAACGCTCAGGGGAACTAGATAGAATTGTGATATAATTGTCTGGCATTTTTTGGGTTTTTCTTACTGGTATGCTGGTAATTTTTGGACCTGTGTTCTCTTCTGCTTGCTTCTTCTCCCAGACTTATAAAATGCTATCAGCATGAAGAACTGATCAGCATCTCCTTCTGATGATTAGTAGTAATGGCAGTAATGGATATACTTGAATAATGTGGAAATCTTAAGAGATTTACCGTTTCGTGCAGTTTTGCCCATTCTAAAATGCCACAACTTCTCACGACTAAATCCCCTAAACTTGGAAACTTCAGGGGAAGATCAGGAAAAATTCAAATCTCTGTCAATATCATTTTTAATTTTTTTCTTTGGAACAAGAGCATTGGTTTCCTTTCAAAGCATCTGGGCAAACCTTGGGGTGGGTGTGTGGCTCAGTGGTAGGGTCCTTGTGTAGAATATCTGAGGCACTGAATTCTAGCCCCAGTGCTGTAAAAAAAAAAAAACCAACCAAAAGAACCAGCTGTCTATGAAATCATAATTTTATGTTTAAAAATAGAGAATAAGTTATATAAATTTTTATTTTCTAAAAGATATTTTGTAAATATTGCATTATATAAATAGTTATCTAGTTGAATTATTAGAGTAAGTTTTTGCGTTTCAATTCACAAACAAATGTGACCAAGTAGTTTCCTTTTGTTCAAATTACACTTGTGCCCTTGCTTTTAACTTAACTTGTATCTGGGTTGTGATGCATATGTGCCTGATGGAGATTCTTCTGGTTTTCTGATTTGCTGGTTTGTCTTCTAGCTTTAAGCTTTACTTTCTCAACATAAAAATGCATCTGGAAGCCTTATCTTTAGAATTACCTCCCTGGGTTTTGAACATGAACTATTTCTGGAGACTAATGTCACCGTGACAGTTGTGTGTGTGTGGCCATGTCCCCAAATGAGGTTGATTGGCCCTTCATATCCGTAACTCTTGGATTACAAGTTCACAGGTCCTTAGGAGGTTTATTATCAGCACAGGACAGAGAATGAAGGGCAGTAGAAACAGCAAGCAATTGCTTAGTTACAACTGAGTTGTGACACCATTAACCCTTGTGAACAAACCTACCTATTGTCGTGCCGAGTGAATGTCCAATGAAGTACAACTTCTCCTGACCTGTTTTCTTTACAATGAAGTCTATTATTCCTGGGAGGTCATATTTGGCCATTTCATCAAAACTGTAAAATGAAACAATATATAAATGTATACAGCTTTAGTTTTAAAACTCAGACACTTGTTTGATTCTTTCTCACACAGGAGCTCTGTGCCACCTACGTATTCGGTGTGTGTATCATTATGCACCTAGTTAAACGGAGACTATGGCAGCTCTTTGTGCAGTTTTTCTGTTTATTTTGTGCTAGCAGGAATGACTGCGGAAGTAACGCACACGCTCTCAGCATTCCATTCTCATTCCTCGCACTCCTCTTTGCTCCCCTTTCTTGCTTTCATTCTCTTTTTTTGCTTCTAATTTCCCTATGGTATTGATGACTGGTGTTCAATACCTGTCACCGTTGTCATTTGTGATTCTACCATTTGCTAGCTGAGCAACACTAGGGAAGTTATCTAAATGTTATGACCGCAAGTATGTCCCAGTGGAAAACGAACAGGGAATCTCTGGCGTTTAGGCTGCTGTGGGGCTTAGATTGTATGGAAGAAATGACTTGCCTGTTAGTAGGTACTTAATCTGATGTCATTGTTAGTACTTGTGTATATATACACTTATGTATGTATATATATACATATATTCATGTATATGTATACATATTCAATATTCTATAATACCAATACCAAAATTCTACATTCATTTAGCATTCACTGAGGAGAACAAAAAGGACCATAGCATATTAAGTAAGATCCAATATCGCATGAACTTGTAAAAAGTACACATGAGGGGACCAATAAACTGATACAACCAAGTATGAGAGAATTGTGGTACCTTACAGAGAATCAACTCTATGCTTTCTGCCAAAGATTAGAGAAATAGAATATTTCCTAAATTTTGTCCCTCCACACAGCAGTAGCTCTAACAATTTATTCCTCTCTTTTTCTCCTTCAACCCTGTTTGGGGAGTGATGAGTATAGGTTGATACGAAAAATGATATGTTCTCTATTCTCACAGCACAATGCCAGTTAACTTGGTGCTTAGGTCCTTTGAAAGGGAAGTCTATGAGGGACAACCACGTCTTCTAGTGACAGAAAACAGTTCAATTGAAATAAACTGTCAGAGTATCAAAATTTCTTATTAGCTGTTTGTTAACATTTTTAAAATGTCACATTGGAGTTTTCCCTAAAGTTTTCCTTTATAATCTTTTTCTCGTCCCTTCTCTGGGTCTCTTTTTTCCTAGTTGCTGTCTATTTATTTGTTACTTTAAGTGTAGTCATTTTGTTTTAGCAAGGACTGAACTACAGCTGGTCTAGAATTCACAATATAACCCAGGAGCCTCAAACTCATGGAAATCCTCCTGCCTCCCCAGTATTGGCATTACAAGCATAAGACATCATATCCTGGCAGTATGGTATATAATCTCAGTTATCATTTCCTTAAATAAAAATAACAAGCACATAATTTTTCAGAATGGATTGCCTAAGAGAAAACATTAGCTAAAAGAACTAGCAGATTTAATTCTGCTTTCTGCTTTTTTCCTTTGGATATCTTAAAAACCACAGAGGTTTTATAATCCAAATATTATGTATTAGTCATGACTTTATATTTAGGGAAATCCCTCCAATTTTCCAGAGATTTTTCTTAGATACAGTTTACCTAAAAGCCCAGAATTTCTCTTCATTTGGTGAGAGAGTTTTGTGTCTTCTTGACCAAGTGTTTCCCCGACTGTTTCCCATCCACACATCATAACCCGCATCTGCTAAGAGGAACCCGAGGCTTCCATTGGCAAAGTTCTCAAGCCAATATGCATTGTCTGCAAACAAGGCATGCTGCATATACACAACTGGCCGGGGACCTAGAAGACGGGTGTGAAGAGAGAAAGCAACAGAAATTTATAGACAAGAACAATCTAGAAACACACTTACACACACGCGTGCACACACATGCACATACACACACATGCACTTATGCGCGCACACACACACATGCACACGCACATGCACACAGAGCCTACCTTTCCCCCTTTGTCTCTTGTGGATTAGTTTAGAGTATTAAATCCATATCTCCTGCTGCTGGAATACAGATTATACCATGGTGCTGAACTGACTGGTATGAAAGAAGCATCTTCTCGACTTCTTAGGATGATTTAAAAAGTAGCTTCTATTTTGAGGAATATTTTACAGGTGTGCAAACCTAGTTTTAAATAGTTAAATAACTTTCCAAAATGGTCTCCTTAGTAACAAATTTCAGAACAGAAACTGAAAACTGATTGGGTCTCATGTCAAGACACACATCTGTGGCTGCTCTGTTCTTTTTGTAGTCACCGGTCTATGATGCTTTGGCTTGCAATTTTTCAGCACTACCATGGTACAAATCAATACATGTTCAATATAAACCATACTTCAATTGTAATCATGATTTTTCTCCCCCAGGGGTAGAAGAAGCGATATGACCTTTCTAAATGCCACACAAGGAAACCTTATGCTTCAAATCCTAGACAGTCATGGGATCACAAGGGCCAAGCACTACAGTGCTCTGTGTTTTGTAAACTATATTTAGTTAATTAGGTGCATTAAACAACTTTTCCTCATGCTATTTTCAATTTACATTGGGTTTTTTAGTGCATAATCCCATTCAATGTTGATTAGCACCTGCATGCATGGCTTACAAAGATGTAAAGTTTTTGATTGCTAATAGAGCTCTGTATCAGACCTAGGGAGGAAGGGAAGATACAGGAAAGTAGGCACAGACTAGCTCCTTGTCAAATGTCTACCCTGTTCTCTAGCTTTTGCTCACTGGGGAGCATTTGCAAACTATTAGCTAGACATCCTTCTGCCCAATCCCAGGTTTACAAGTGTTGTAGAATATTATTTTAAGATGTGTTACATTTGTTTATGCTGTGGAACTTTTTGTTTAATGATGCAAAGATGTGTTGCATTCTTTCATGTTGTATTTGTTTAACTGTGAGGTTGTGTTGCTTTCCCGATCTCCAACACCTGATTGGTCTAATAAAGAGCTGAACCGCAAGCTGAATAGCAAGGCAGGAGACAGGATGGGTGGTGCTGGCAGGCAGAATGAATAAATAGGAGGGGAAATATGGGAAGAGAAGGGCAAAAGGAGAAGAAGAGGAGGACTCCAGCGACCAGCCACTCAGCTACATAGCAAACCATGGAGTAAGAAGTAAAGAAAGGTATACAGAAATGAGAACTGTAATAGCCCAGAAGCAAAACGTAGATGGGATAATTTAAGTTAAGAAAAGCTAGATAGAAACAAGTCAAGTTAAGGCCAGGAATTTAGAAGAAAGATTAACCTTCTGCATGATTTATTTGGGAGCTGGATGTCAGGCCCCCAAAAAGCAAAGAGCAAAAGACTAAAAACAAACAGAAAAACCAACCACATACAAGGGAGTGAATGTTCAGTGAAGTGAGAGAACCGGGGCTATTGACAAAAGCAAAGCAAAACAACAAAACTCCCAAAGCAGCAGCAGCAGCAGCAATTAGCACATTACTTTAATGACTGAAAATTTAGGTCCTGGAGTCTGGCTGCCCAAATTGAAATTCTGGTTTTGTCACTTGCTGTTTGCATGACTTTGTGTCTGTTTCAGATGTCTGTCATCATCTGTAAATGGAGATGGTTAGTGTTTGCTGAGGGTTTTAAGTGATTAAAAAAATATGTAGAACACGATAGCTAACAAGTGGTTTTGAACTCCACATCCTTTTATAATTAATTCCTCTTAAATTTATTTCTGTAACATTCTTTGCTCCATAGCTTTTCCTCCCTCAAGTTGCCTGACTTAATAAAAGACAAAACTGAAAATAAACAAGATCCAGGATGCTCTTCTAATTTGGAATGAAGGTAACAATGCATTATTTTGAGTATAGCCATCTCCTAGAATAGATCTTCCATTAAAATGTATTTATTGGTTTCTTGACATTTAAGTCTGACTTGGAAAACTATATTTTGTATGGGAGAACTGCCCACATGCTGCTTCGAGCTTTCATCTGAAACCCTCAAATTGCATACTCCTGTCTAAGAGGGGCAGATTGTACAACACTGTGATTCTGGTGGTTTTGGCCGCCACCAGATGGAGGAAAAGAGGCTGTGGGACCAACATGGCAAGCAGGTGTCAATCAATAGTGTCCCCCATCCTTTTAACTTCTTTTGTTTACACTTATTTCTCCCTCTGCATAAGCTAGCTACAATTAATATAGAGTGTCATTTCCTTGCTTTTGCATGTTTGGCTCTTTCATTTCATGAACTGTCACTTTGATCATGGCTGAGAAATTTGTTCATTGAGAAAGCTTCAGAAATGCACTGTTATTCAACCCTGTGGTAACAGAAGAGACTCATTGATTTTAGAGGGATCAGAAGAGACACCTTTGGGTATCGCACTGGACTCGACTTCATTCTGCCTAGCAAACCTTTTGACTTTTTACTTGGGAAACTGTCTTTTCCAAGAAGCCAGTTGTGAGTTGATAAAGGTAGACTCTACCTTGACATTCACACCTTAGGAGCAGGTATGACTTTCCTCAGCAAGATCTGTTTTGCCCTTCGAGTCTTTAGAGAAGTGGAGGGAAGATAACGAGCCTCCTTGTTAGCCATTAAAAGACCACTGCAGTAACTCAAGCTGATTTGAACAACTCTGTCTCTCTCCTGATGGATAGCTAGCATTCAATTTCAGTCATGAGTCTTTCTCCCCAGGAGATGCACCTGTACCTGTCTGCTCAGTCTGTGCTCTCCCATGAGGAATCCTGTTGATGGCGAGAATGTACCCGTCTGCGGTGGTGACTTCATACTCTTCACTGGGGTAGCCGTTGTAGGTGATGATTTCACTCTGTCGTAGACATAGAGTTATTGGCAGCTCCTCCTCTCAGGAGACATCATAAAGAACTAGACAGTGTGACTAATAAGTTTATGTGCGTGGATTCTATGAAATCTATAGCTGTAGGTAGCTGTAAAAGTAAATGTATTATACGAGGTCTTCATAAAAATAAGCAAAATGCAAGAAGGTATCTACTAAAATATTGGTGGTGGATATTTAGCATTGACCTATCTGACCAGAATACATTTCCTTGTTGTTTGTCTTTTGAATTTCCTTTTGGCTTTAAAAATGGTAAAATTACGTGCCAGGAGAATGCTGTCTCGAATTATCCAAATGTCTTTAAAGATATGAATTTAAAATGGTGATTGACGAATACAAAAGACGTGACATGTTCTGCTTCTTAGAGCTAGAAAATATCAGCTATTAAGTCAAAGGAGCCGATTTATCAGTCTGACACTTGCAAAAATGTTACAAACTGTTTATATCATCCGAACTTTTTGCTATAGCCGGGCTGGGCCTTTTTCAATCTACCACCCAGTAGTCCATTTTATTTGAAGCTGTTTGAACTTACGGCATTCATCCACACTTCAGGATTCACTTCATTGTCAAAATCTGAGAGTCCACTAACACTTAAAGTCCCACGTATCAAACAGGCTGTTGTTAAGAATAACCACCTCATTGGCATGCCTGGCACAAAACATTTAATGTTTACAGGTTAATCTTATCCATCTATGTTGATGATTAAAATTAAAATATTACCATATTGAAAATTCAAATGACAGCAGAGGAAGCTGATGCTTTATGGGAGAAGCACACACAACAAAAGTTACTTGGAATATTAGTCATCTCATGGAGTGAACTTAACCCAATCTGGAGGCCTTTCAAATTTTAATTAAGGTATTTTTATGACCTTGTCTGTATTCAGCTGTTAGCTCAGAAGACAAGTTTTGACATCGCAGCAAATTAAACAGTGGATTTGTCTATATCCTTGCCTTTCATCCTGCAAAGCACACAGGAACAATGAACAGATGGAGTTTCCACTAAGTCGCAGTCAGTTTCTAGAGATGTAACACTTTCCCACACACATTTCCCAAAGTCCAGCCTGGCACATCTCCACGTGGAGCCATACTCCATTGCCCTGGTTTAAAGAATCATATCTTCAAAGACAGACATCATGTGAGCAAGTGAACTCGTCTCCTGGCCGCTGCTAAAATCACCCAGCCTGTACTTGAAGTTCAGCTTCTCCACAAACAAGCTCTTTGACTGTGGGTAAGGGTACTAATTTCTATGTGTCTTAGTTTTTTGTTTGTTTTTTGTTTTGTTTTTAGTGCGTGTGTGTGTTCATATGTTTAAGATAATAAGATGACGACTTTTCTCATAGTATGACCATGATGATTAAGTGATACAATATACATAATGCACTGCAATGTAAATTCCTTAGAACAGTTTCTATTATTTTTTCTCATTGTTAGAACAAGCAAGAGGCTGACCAGAGATCCATTGCTACATCCAATTAATGTCTAAGTTTTGAAAGCACAGTTTATTTTATAGCCTCCTATACATGTTACATCTTCTTTAAAATCCTATCTATAGATATTATATAAAACTTAAAAATTGAAACTAGCAATAGTATCTGTTGAAAACTTTGAAGACACAGTCTTCAATGTTCAAGCTATGTTACTTAAATATAGAAAATCTCCATAAATGCGCTACTGATAATATTCTCACAAATATTAAAACAAAGGCTCAGAGACACTTACGATCTGCCCAAGGTCACAGAACCAACAGGTGACAGGTCTAGGGTGGGCATGCAGACAGCCTCACTGCAGGACCCTTGCACCTATGACCACTCTCATCTGCCTCCTGGTTGTGGCAAATCTCCATCTTACCTCGTTAGGTGAGCTTCCCCTGTCCAGAGGACTTCCGTACTTTTGCTTTTGACATCAGGCTGAAGAGTGAGATATGGCTGCAGTGACAGTTAGAAGCTAGAGAAGTGACAAACAGGAAGCTGGTGGAAATGAGGAAACCCTGCACTATGACACGCCCTAGGCGGCTCCCCAGCACACCAAATGCATGATGCACTTGTGGATTGGGAAATAGTGGTCTACACCATGCCAAATAACCAGTTGGGCTGAGTCTCACTGATGGTTGCACTTAGTACCTGTCACTGTGGGGAGAAATCAGCAACGTTTTCATTCCAGTGCTTCACGTGGGGAAGCAGAATGTGCTCAGAATCCTACTGGACAAAATCAGAGATAACAGGATCTCCCCTCCCAACCCTACAGCATCATGATAAGGATCCACAGAAACAATGAATAAAAATATTGGCGTCAGCTGTGGAGTATGCAGGAAAACATGTAACTATGAGTCAGTTGAGATGCAATCCAATTCTTGACATCAGACCAGGGGGAGTGTGGTAGAGGAAACTAACCCACAAGCCAAAGGACTTTGACCTATAGTAAACTTTGGCAGCAATCAGTTTGAGTGTGGATCTATAAAACATTTAACTTCTTCCTTAAAGAAAGTAGAGACGAAAGCTTAAAGTGAAGACACTTAAACTCTAAATTCCACACGAGCAACACAAAATGGAAATTTGTGTGCTACAACCTTCTGTCTTCGGTAAGTCTACAGAAACTATGCTGCCGGCGCAGTGTGGGCATTTCTTTTTGGTCTTAGCCTGAAATTCCTTCAGAAATGAAACTGTTATCCCAATTTGTCCAAACCCTAGGATCCATTTCAGTTGAATGAGGAGTTTCATGCCAATTTCATCAATGTGGAGTAAAAGGTGAACCTCAGCTGTTTGGAATAAGAAGAACTTAATAACAACTCCACATTCATTCAGTCTTTGATAACGGATTCAAACATGTCTTGTTCTGATTTACAGCATAATGGCAGAGATATAAACACTTGTTTGAAATGGCTCATAGCTTTGGACTACTAAACAACACTTCTGACAAACTTTCATAGACTTTTTGGGCAGTTCTAGGAAGCACAATAGTGTTCTTAGTGTTGATTTGTTGTCATGGGTTTGAATACAAATACCATTACAATAATTCAGTTCCTCAAGATTTTGTAGATTATTAACTAGTTCATGTCTCCAAAAAATTTTCTATTTCACTTATATTTTAATAATCTGAAGAATTCTTCGTGTTGTTTTGCTTGCACAGAAACAAAATTATGTCAAATAAATGAAGATATTATTTTGATAACAATTTATCACCCTTCTTATATAAGCTTGTTTTAAAAATAAGTTTTCAATATTTAATTGAATATTATATATGCTATGTAGCAGTGCTTATGATATTTCTTATAAATATTAATGCAACAATGAGTACTATGTAATAGTAACTGTAGTTAATTTAATCATCACATTAGTCTTGATTAAAATGAACTGAATTAAAACATCTTCTTAAACCTTATGAATTATAAAAAACAGCTAGCCTCTGATCTCTAGAAGTTTACTTTTTCCTCTACAACTAGATGATATTAGAGATGGAAAGTAATTACAGATAAAACTTAAGCGGCAATATTTAAGAAAAAAGTACCCAGTGTTTCTGATATCTCCTTCAAAGAATCCTGTCACAGCAAATTGTTTAAAAAACACTGCCCATTCATTTATCAATATGGCTCAAAACACTTACATCTTGGACCAATAATGACATTTGCTCTAACAAAATATACTTTTTTTTTGCCTGATTATTTCTTTCACACCGAAGCCTTTGTTGCTTTTCTTTTTTGAGAGGGGAATCTTGCTGGCTTCAAATTCATGGTAATCATACCTGTGCCTAAAGACTTTTCTGAACATATTACTTTGCCTTGAAGGGTCATAGTTCTATCTTGGTTATAGCTCAAAGTCAAAAGCTTAAGTATCACTCACATAACACAATAGAAAGTAGTAGGCCTTTTGAAAAACTTAAATATGAAATGCCTTTGAGACAAGTTTTCTCTAGAGTAAGACTTCATATGATCATACTCTATTTTGTGGAGTTGGTTTTAATTCCTCTCTTGTTAGGTAATTTATCTAATTTAATTTGTATACTCAAAATCAGATAGGGCTCAATAGTAGCATAGATATGCATAAATGAGTATGTATATGCATGTAAATTCTTAATAAGCATACTTTGGTTAGTGGAAATGTTAGAATTTCATTTCTTCGTACTTTATATATAGAAAAATTGGTAATGCCCATTATTATAAAATAAAAGATTATTTCTATGTGGCCTAATAAAATGACATGTTTTTAAATGTTAGTGACAATGAGCCTGTTTTTCTACCATAAACTACATACATCTTCAAAAATAGTACAACTATGATAAAGAGACATCATAAAGAAATGCAAGTAATAACCAGATTGATTATAAATAATGAAAACATTAAAGCCTTTTGAAAAGACCATAGCATAATCTACTTGTACACATTTTCATCCCCATATAAATGGTCCAAAACAAAACTCACATTTATAGAGGAGTTAGGGCCAAAATGTCAATGGCTGACTTTGGTAAAGTCCAGTCTTAGTAGGTGTTAGGCTCAGGATTGTGCTTATGGCAAAGGTCAAAGCTTTTCGAGAGGAAGAGCCATCCTCCTCCTCCAAGCAGGTTCACCTACCTACTTTGCTTAATGCGTACAATTTATGTATGGCATTCTCTATAGCTCATCAGTGTTTGAATTTTTGTAGGTGGTGTATTCAAATGGAGGTTCCCTCTCATCCAAGCACATCGAACACTAGACCAGGAATTTTCATTGAATATAGTTTTGTTTACAGTCTCACCCCATTTGGTGATTAATATAATTGCAATTGGTATATGCACAGAGATAACACTAGTTTCTGTTACATGTTTTAATCTTTTACATATTCATGTTTTTTTTTAAATTACTGAGAAACTACCCTGCAGTGTCCTCAGCATCCCTGGAAATAAGCCTTTTCAGAGTCAGATTGCTTATTTTATCTCTCCACAACCTCCAACACCATCAAAACTCTGTGTATTGAGTAAGTGAATGAATGAACAAATCTAGAAGACCAGAAAAGGAGGGATAATGAATATCAATAAAATAGATTATGATTTATTGTATATTACTGAGTCAAGTATCTGACTTTGATAGTCTACCAACTTGGGCATACATTTTCCTGAATCTTTCTACTTTTAAACATTTCGGTGAAAACCTTTCTAACATTATCTAGTATTTAACTGGAGAAGGGAAACTTATAGTCAAAATAAATCAATCATGTTATATGTTTTAGCCAATTAACATTATTTTAATAAGTTTCACCAACTACTACTGCGATGAACGATGAGTACTTGATAGTATCTGTTTCCCTGCCGCTCATCTCCAAATTGCCCTGGTAATTAGTGCCTGCACTGAAAATGTCTGACTTTTCAAGCACTTCACACTCATATGGGAAAAAGATTAACATAGATCTTTTCATAGTTTTATTTTTCCAAATAATAAATGAGCCTTCTAGCCTATGCTCTGCAGTTCTTATGGATTTGGCTGCATGACTCAGCATGTGTACATATATAGCTATCTCTCAGAGAGTGACATAACTCTTATCAGGATGTGTTCCTTGATAAACCGTGGACACCAAAAGAGGAACCTCCCTGTGAACCATTTGGTGCCCAACCAGCCAATCTTTTCTTGCCGAAATTGTATCTTATTTATGAGGACACATTTGCGGTTCCTTTATTTATGTCAAGAGATTCTTGAGAAATGAGTATTTGTTGCAGATGTACTAATTACAGGTCATAAAATTCCCCAGCTCCCATGGAACTCAACAGTAGGACACTTTACCTTAATTATGTATTGACTGTTGACTTTGTACCTAGGTGATAGGGAATGTAATTGAGTTACAGGACACACATAGCATGCCAGTCAAGAAGTAGGGCTTCCATCTAAATTCCATAGGAAGTTGACAACATGTACCCTCCTTTCCCCTCTCTTTTTTTCTCTCTCTTTTTTTGTTAGTTTATACTCCTGTGTTTCCTATACAACTCAGGTCACCTTTTCCTCTCTCTGAAATTACCTTCTTGGAGCCTTCAGGCTTCTGTGCTCTTTTCATGCCTGATAAACCTAGCACTCACACCACCTGTATAGATAGAAACCTGTATAGACACAACACCTGTATAAATAGTCTGTTAGTCTATTGTTAGTGTAGATTGTAATCCTGTTAATTTTCCATGCATGTGATTATATCCAGACATAGATGTCAACCATAGGAACATATGGAAAATCCTTAGGTAACCAGAACAATGAGCTTGTTATTTGTTTGACTTTGAATGTCTTACTATTTTTGGTATTTAGATTCTTCCTATGCAAATTATCAATTCCTGACTCATAAGCTTTGGTAAGGACCAAGTGTGACAATGTGTATCACATACGAAATCTTACATATAGTAAAAACTTTATAGATACTAATGTCTTATTTCCAGTCACAGACTCATACAACTTCCCTTCCTTTTCCTCCAACAGATAGAAAAGCCCTGGATACTAGAGATCATTGACTAAACAGAATGATTGGGTGTCTTATAATAATATTCTGTGGTCAAAAACTGCATTGTAAGAATCAGGATACCATCAAGGTTGAGCAAGAGTGCTGGTCACTGTAGTAAGGCATCTTTGAATTCACAGCTTTCTGCACATTTAATCTCTTCATATGTTATCCAAAAGTAGTGGTGTTAATGTTAACTTTATCTTACTAGCTGCAAAATATGAATTAAAGAGATTAAATAATTTGTTTATGGATATAAATATACTGGTGCCAGAACTAAAACTTATTTTATCATAGAGCTCATGGTTAAGTGTTATTTTATATACGCACACTTCATATTCACTTTTGATGCTCATGACAGTGTATGAAATTGGCAGAAGCGGGTGTCTTTATTGGGCAAAAAAGAACATGGCTTTTTCAGGGTTTCACAGTAATACAAAGTGGAACTGATTCTGGGACTCTCATTGTTTAGATACAGACATGTACATCCAATTAGTTTCTTACTTT